TGAGACTAGAGGGCGTGTTGTGCATTCGAGGGCTCAGGTGTTCGGCTTGAGGCCTAAGTTTGGAGGCCGCGGCTTCTTGATGGAGGCTCGTGTCGTGGGGTCGACTACCCTCCGTGGAGAGTCTACACGGCGCGGGGGGAGGCAGGCCGAAGGTAGTCCAAGGAGTCCTTGGTTAAGTCTAGGCAGGGTCCAGGTAGAGAAGTAGCAAGGGAAGCAGGAGCATGTACATAGTACCCAGGAGTATCTGCAAGCGAATCGATGGTCGAATTAGAGACGAACTGGAGTCTTCGCGTTCTGGCATGGTTCCGACGGAAATCACATGGTTTTGTTCACTGACACCCCCTCCGCTGAGTTGACTGGACTACTACCGATGGTACTACGTTTGACCTTTTGATGAGTGGCAATGTCGACGCACTTTAGTAAAGAGAGCTGTGATATGTGTATGTTCCACAAACATTGTTTGCACTCATGGTTTCTTACTTCTGCCCGTGCTTTAATGGGGGACTGCGCCCATCCATGTTGGACGCCCGTCGTAGGCCGCGGGCGAACTGGCGGCATGGGCGGGGGGAGGGGGGAGGCGGGCCAGCAGCATGAAGGCCGCATGAGAGGAAGCGCGTAAAGGCGAAGGCCTTCTGCTGCGCTCTGCAAGCAGGCGGAGTTCGCCACGCATGGCGGGGGCGACGCGTCGATACGGCCCACACGCCGAGACAGAGACCACCCTGGGCTCGGGGGGGGGCTCTGCTCTTCGGGCCGTGCCCTTGGGCCTGTGTCGGGGAGCCCGTTCGTGGCCGAGGCTCGCCGTGGCCAGGAACGCCGCCCCCCCCTCGTTCCCTGCCCCTGCCCAGCGTTCCGCATGGCTCGGTCGGGAACTTTTGGTACAGCGTGTCGCTCGACGGCTCTGGCCGACCGCGCTTCGGTGCGACACCCTATCCACTTCGCGGCCCCCAGGCGTCAATGTCTCGAGCCTTTCCGGAGCCTCCCGCCGCGGGGAGCGGGGGATAGCGCCAGCAGCGGCAGTGGGGCAGAGCCGGGCCCGGCCCAGGCTGGGCGAGCTGCCGCAGGGGGCTCCGATCGCGGTGTTCTGCGCGGCAGGCCTTGGGGGGCGGGTGGGGGGCGCGGGTGCGGCGTGCGCGTGCTTGGCGCCGTGGTCTTCGGTCGTGTGCTCAGCTGCCCTGATGCGCCCGTGTTGAAACGTAGCACGTGCAGTGTTCAGAACGTCCGTGTTAACACGCTGCGCGTTGGCTCGCCACGTGGTTGCTCCACCTTTTGACGAACGTATCGCGCCAGCCCTACGTAGACTGAAAAGCTCCGTGTCATCAACACGCCGCAGGTTGCGTGTTGCGTGCTGGGGCAGCTAAGGTCGTGCGCGCGCACCTCTGTTGGCCTCAGTTCGCGACGGATGCGCCCCGCCGCTTGCTTGACCGCCCGGCTGGGCCCAGCTCGCCGCAGACCAAGCACACAGTGTGCGCCTCGGCTCCTCCACGCCCTCCTCGGGCAGCCTGGCTCGCACGGCGCCTCACCGTTGGCCTGGGCTGCCTTCTACTCGACGGACGAATATTGCCCCCCCGCCCACCCCCCGCATTCCCCTCTCCTCCTCCTCCTCCTCCTCCTCCTCCTCCTCCTCCTCCTCCTCCTCCTCCTCCCTCCTCCTCCTCCTCTCTCCTCCTCCTCCTCCTCCTCCTCCTTCCTCCTCCTCCTCCTCCTCCCTCCTCCTCATCCTCCGCCTCCTCCTCCTCCTCCTCTCCTCCTCCTTCTCTCCCCTCATCCTCCTCTCCCTCCTCCTCCTCCTCCTCACCCCCCCCCCCCTCGCAATCCCCCCCCCCGTCCCACATCCGCCCCATCCCCTCGGCAGCGCGCCCAGGGGGGAGGGGGGAGCGAGAAAGGGGGGGGCCCTCTCGGAAGGCTCGGAAGGCCGCTGGGCCCCTTGAGAAATGTCCCAAGCCTTCGCCGGAGACACAGAGGACTGCTCGGAAGGCGGAAGGGGGCCTCTGAGAAGCCCCGCCGCCAGGGGGGGCTTCTGAGATTCGCCCCGCCGCCTCCCTGAGAAGGCCTGCTCTTGCTGCCTCCACCGAGAGAGGCCTAGACTTTCCTCAGGCGGCAGAGCGACGTCACTGCAGCGAGCGGCCAAGGCGTGTCACGCTTAGTGCTCTTCCTAGTTGCGTGTGAGCAAGTCTGAGAGTGCGGCCTGCTCTTTTCGCATTTCCCACCCCCCAGGCGCGCCGCCGAACCCCACCCCACTCCATCGGAGCCCACGGGCTCCAGCAAGATTGTCGAGGGGAGTGCTCGACGTGCTCGGCACGGAAAGGGGGCGGGGAAGGGGGGCTCGCGCTCTCCGAAGGGGAGGCCGTTGCCCTTCCGGGGGTCGCGACCAGTCTGTGGGCGAGCGGTGTGCCTCGGCATGCCAGCCATGGGCGTTTCGGGGCATGGTCGGGCGTTCGCCAATCTTGGTGGAGCGTACGTTTGAGAGGGGCTGCCGTGCGGCCGGCCCCCGAATGCTAAGAAGATGGTATGGCGGCCTCGGGGTGCTCATCCCCCCTGGCTCCCTCCTCCTCCCCTTCTCCTGCCCCCCCTCCCCTTTTCCTCAGAAGTTATTCCTCCCTGTCGCACCCCGAGACGTGCTGGTAGGGAGTGCCGCGCGTTTCGCCTGAGACTTCTTCACCATCTATGATCCTTAAGCTGAATGTGATGGAGGGCGGGTCATTATCAAAATGTGGTTCTCGCCTTCGCGCCGCCGCGCGCATTCGTTTTAAAAGTATTCTGGGGGTTCTGGATGGAGGGCGGTACCTTTTCAAAATGTTGCTCTCGCTTGAGCGCCGCGCACATTCGTTTTGAAAGTTCGCAGGAGCTTCACGGATGGAGGGCGGTACCTTTTCAACATGTGGTTCTCGCTTCAGCGCCGCGCACAGTCGTCTTAAGAGTTTACGATAGTTTCAAATGTTCTCTGGCGGCCCAGAAATTGTGTTTTGGCATGATGTAGTGTTGTCAGGGCGCCACAGTTACCTTGATTCGCGGCGTTGAGGTCCCAGGAATTGTTTTCTGGCACGGTTCAGGATTTTCAGACGGTTGTCTTCAACGGGGGATTTCCCTCGAATGAATCCTTGTAGGGACCTATTCAAGGGAGCTTTGAGGGAAGGTTTATTGCAACATTGTTGACGGGTCTTGGGTTTGCACTGGTCCTCTTCCTCCCTTCTCCTCCCCCTCCCTCCTCCACTTCGTGCTCGTCCTTTGGAATGCAACGGTTGGCGATCCGCCAGCAGCGTCAGTCCTCCTCCCCCTAGTTGGCAGCATGCAGCCATACATCCGAGGCACGTGCCCGAAGAGAGGCAGATGGCCCAAACACACGCACGTCAGCCAACCGACACCCCAGTCTCTCCCGCCTTCCCATCGCAATTTCTTCACATCGCTGATCCCCGCATCCTGCTCGCATGCCTAGAGCACAGGCTTTGCCAAACCTCACGCCGACCACAGGCATGTGCGCTCGGCGGGTTTAGCTTCTTAATTCGACCGAGGCTGTGTTCGTGGATCCAGAAAGGGCGGTCTCCCCTCCGCGGGGTGAACGACCTCGTGCCGCCTCGGCTCGGATCGCTCTCGTTCCTGGTCCTCGGCCTGCGCTGGCCCAACAATAGGAAATCGCAGCTGCTGCTGTTGTGACGCTTACACCGGGGTAACGTGCAGGACCAGCGTCTGTGTTGGCCACCCTTGCTTCTGGCAGCCGCTGCTAGACGCCACGGCTCCACGTACAGTCCGGCACAGCTATAATAGTGTTGCTTTCTTGAGTGAGTGTCCCAATTTCTTTTGACATGCGAGTGGGCAGAGACCGAGGACAAGAGAAGGAGGCTAGCAGCCACCCCTGCGAAATTCGCAAGTTGACGGCTCGGTTTCTGGATGATACCTATTGCGAAGGCCTTGCGGCCGGTGCCGCCGACCCTGAAGCTGGACGACGACGACAACGGCGGCGGCGACGACGACGACGCTGACGTGGGCCAGCTGGATGTTTCATGGGGTCTCTTCGGGAAGCTCTCGGGGGCCTCTGGGAGGAATTCTGGGGTCTCTTGGGAGCCTCTTGGGGGCCTCTTGGGAGCCTTCTGGGGCCTCTTCGGGCTTCCTGGGGACCTCTTGGGGCCGAGGGCTCGAAATGTCCGTTCGGGTCCCCCGTCTGGGCACGCCCTTGGAGCCGTCTTGGGGGCCTCTTGGGCTGTCTTGGGAGCGTTGTGCAGTGTCTTGAGGTCCTCCTGGGCTGTTTGGGGGCCCTCTTGGAGGCCCCTTGGGCCGTCTTGGGGCTATCTTGGGGGCCTCTTGGGCCGTCTTGGAGCGGCAAGGAGCGGAAAAGGCGAGAACGCCCAAATATTTAACAAACCAAGGGGTAATCAATGACATTTGCCTCGTGGGGCCCTTCTCGGGAGTGCTCTTGGAGGCTTCTTGGGGCAACTTGATGGAGGGCGTTAAGGCGTTTAGGACAGAGAGTTGGGCGATTGGGGGCACTCTTGTTCCGTCTCGGGATCTTCTTGGGGCACTCTTGGCTTGTTTTGGTATTTTCTGAGGCCCCGGGACCCCCAGGTGGAGGGATGCGTGTCTGACCCGTCCCTGCCCCCCCCTTATCAATGGTCCCTATCAGTAAGCACCCCATCCCCCAGGCGACCGACAGCCGACTAGGGCCGATGAGGGCCCCCCCAACCACCCCTTATCGAAAAACAATGTGAAGCCCACTTTGGGCCCGAGTATCTCGGGTCATGATCGGGGGTGGCTGCGAGCACCTTGTAATTCTGGGTTTTTGAGAGGGACGGCGGGGGTGCCCGCGTACAGCCTGCTGTGCACAGGGCCAGCACCCCTGTCGAAGAGGAGTGCAACATGCACTTCGAGACAACATCTGGATCGTGCGCGGGCGCCTCGCGATCAGTGTGCATTGGTTTTTGACTGGGACGGCGGGGTTGCTGGCAGACTGACTGCTGTGTGCGGCCACAACAGGCGCTATGATGGCCGTCCCGCCGCGATTACGCACTGGTTCTCGACAAGGGAGGTGGGGGCCGACACGTTTCCCGATGTGTACTGCCACATGCGCAGGCGCCCCTGGCACACCTTGCGCGTGCCCCGAACGTGGCGCTCCTGGCGTGGCTGGAGCATGCGAGCATGCGGCACACATGGTGCACGTGGATCACGTGGCACATCTGGCGCACCAGGCGGTGTTCGGCACACTTGGGCCACAGGTGCTTGGCGCGCGTGGCGCGCCTGGCACGCCTAGCGCACCTCGCCCCAGCGTTGCGCATATGGGGTCTGTTTTGGCTCGCACTAGCTGTCCATCCAAAGGCTACTGCTGAACCCGCTGCGGCTCGGGTTCTGCATGTGTTTGGAGGGCGGGTGGGAGTGAGCGAGTCGACTTACGTGCGGGGAGTGTGTCTTGACCCCCCCCCCCTAACCCCTCCCAGGACCCCTCCAGGACCCCGACGGGGGAGGGGCCAAAGGGAAGGGGCTTCCCGTCGACTCCATTACGACATTGCTGGAATTTCTCTCGCGCTTAAGGAGGAGGGCGCAGGGAAAGGGGATGACGGAGACGACGACGCCAACTCGAACAGACAAGCCCCTCACACGCGCGGACAGGGTCGGCGGACTTGGTCTCTCTGCTGGACTGTATAGCAATATTCCCGTGCAGGCACCTGCGTGCTTTACTCGTGGTCTTGAAATGTGGCGAGCTTGCCCTCCAGCGCTTGATCGGCGCGTCTCTGCAGATCGCTGCCAGTTTTTCGACGCCGACCTGTCCAACGAGCTTCCACACCAGTGTGCGTCACACGTTGGATTAAGTCGGGCGTGTCCCTCTACAGGAGGAACATTCAAAAATAGTGAAAAAATAGTCTGGTGACGATGTTTAATTTAGTTGTTGACTATGTTGTGGTATTGTTGGGGTATTGTCAATTTTTCGCCCAAAATCCGCCTGCAGGGGGACATGCCCGACCTATGGACCTCGCACGCCCAAGTCTTGATTGGACAGCGTCCGCCATGCACCATCTGGCGCAGCTTGTTGCGGCGGCCCCTCCGGAGCGCGTTCTCAACGCCTGCCGCGAAAGCCACGCATCACAAGCGTAGAGCGGGCCCGGGTTCACGGGACGCACAGAGCAGACGCGTGCGATGACACAGCGACTTTTTCCGATGACGGACCCCGGGCTTGAAACCGAGGCCCACTGGGTGGCCGTGCGTCGTGCCAGCCCCATTTCATTGTGACTATCCAGGGACTGTCGGTTGGTTGCCGAAGTGCCCGTCTCGGTTCTGCCGAGGGGGCCCCCCGGCATCCTGTCCCATACGCCGCGTTCTTGCAGATCTCGGCCGAGCGTTTGTGAGCACTGCGATCTTCTGGATGTTCGGGTCACACCTCGGCGCCGCTGACTCCATGTCCCACGTCCAACGCCCTGGCCTCCTCACGGCTGCCGGTGCAGGGCAGGACGAGGTGCCATCCGCGAAGCGAGAGTTTGCGAGCGGCTTACGGGTGCACCGAACGACGGTTCCGCAACGTGCCCTTTGCGTTGTGTGCTCCAGTTGCTTTGCTCTTGTCCATTGCCTTGCCCGTTACATCAATCAAGACAAGTCTTTTGAGCATGAGACACCGAGTCCGTCCGCTCGGACATTGTCGACGTATCGAAGGTCTGGCCCCTCAGCAATGCCAGCACAGCGTCCCCATGCTTCGCGTGCTTGCGCTGTCCAACTGGATGGTGTGACAGTGGTGGTGTGGTAGTTCGGGTTGGCTTTCCGCTCCAGGCCCGCCTGCCATGTTTCACTGTGCACGATGTTGCCCGAAATCCGTTATAGCCGATGCTCTTTCCAACTGGGAAATTCGTGTACAGCAAGCTGTAGACAGTGTCGCACCTCGCTTGCAGGCAGATTGAGATATGTTTCCCCAATCAGAGCTTGCCTCTGTAGGGGTCCTAGCGGATTAAAGGCTGAGGTGAGGTTCGCCGCCGATTCTGTGGCCGGGCCCGGGTGCCCGGGTGCCCGGGTGCCCGGGTGCCCGGGTGCCCGGGTTCGCCGCCGATTCGGTGGCCGGGCCCAGGTGCCCGGGTGCCCGGGTGCCCGGGTGCCCGGGTGACGGGTGCCCGGTGCCCGGGTGGGTGCCCGGGTGCCGGGTGCCCGGGTGCCCGGTGCCCTGTAGCCCTATAGCCTTATAGCCTTATAGCCCTATCTCCCTATCGCCCTATAGCCCTATAGCCCTATAGTAGCCTTATAGCCCTATATCCCAATAGCCCTATAGCCACAAACAAATTCTGATTGGGGTTTTTCTCCGGTATCATTTGGTGTACGTATTGGCCTTTGGTGATCATGTGGCGAAGGGCCAGTCTGAAGGTCTATTTCGGCCTGCGCTGGGAATAGAAATAAACGTGTTCGATTGGGTTTCCTGCGTCTTAGGGCGGTCCACTTTGAGAAGCTCGGCGCGCGTGCCTGGATCGCCGCTCGCCTTGACGCTTGCCACTTGTCCCGTGGCGAGGGAAGGAGGGGAAGAGAGGCGGGGGCTGGACGTACAGCGGAGAAGACAAAAAAGAGGATGGGAGAGGAAGGAGGAGCGAGGAGGAGGGAGGCAGGGAGGGTGGGAGGAGGAGGAGGAAGAGGAGGGGGAGGAGGAGGAAGAGGAGGAGGAGGAGGAGGAGGAGGAGGAGGAGGAGAGAAGGAAGGAGGAGGAGGAGGAGGAGGAGGAGGAGGAGGAGGAGGAGGAGGAGGAGGAGGCGGCGGAGGAGGAGGAGGAGGAGGAGGAGGAGGAGAGGAGGAGGAGGAGAGAAACAGAAGCACGCAGCAAGCTTGCGACTCGCGTCTGAACAACGTCAAAGAAGAGGAGGAGGAGGAGGAGGAGGAGGAGGAGGAGGAGGAGGAGGAGATGGAGGAGGAGGAGGCAGGGACTGGGGGAGAAGGAGGAGGAGGAGGAGGAGGAGGGAGGAGGAGGAGGAGGAGGAGGAGGAGTGCAGGAGGGGGGAGGAGGGAGAGGAGAGGAGGAGGAGGAGGGGGGGAGGAGGAGGAGGAGGAGGAGGAGGAGGAGGAGGAGGACGAGGAGGACGAGAAGGACGAGGAGGACGAGGAGGACGAGGAGGAGGAGGGATGAGGAGAGGGAGGAGGAGCAAGACGAGAGGAGGAGGAGGAGGAGGAGGAGGAGGAGGAGGAGGAGGAGGAGGAGGAGAGGGAGGAGGAGGAGGAGGATGAGGAGGAGGAGGAGGGAGGAGGAGGGAGGGAGGAGGGAGGAGGGAGGAGGGAGGCGAGGAGCGAGGAGGAAAGAGGGAGGCAAGGAAGGGCGGAGGAGGGCGGGTCCGGGGATGCACGACGAGTGGCCGAAGCGTATGCCCTGCTGCCTGCTCTTTGGACCTGGCAGCGGAGCGTGCTGGACGGGGGCGGGGGCGGAGACAGCGGGGGGCGGGAACCGTGGAAAGGGGAACACAGGCTCGACAGCTTCGGAGGCGGAGGTGTTGAGCTCCGTGCCGGAAAGCAGCTTCTGGAACAGAGGCACGGGTCTTTGGCTGGCAGCTCTCGAGCCGTCTGGGGAGGAGACGGGCCAGGACGAGGGGACGGGTAGAGAGAGAGAGGCATATCATCATAGACAGAGAGAGTAGTATGCACATAGTAAGAGGGAGAGGGACAGAGAGAGCGAGGGAGAGAGAGAGAGAGAGAGTGTGCTGGTGCGTGTTAGATACGTACATACACGTATGATATAATATTCAGGTAGAGAAATAGCGAGAGCGAGAGAGAGGAAACAAAACAAACAAGAGAGAGGTAACGAGAGAGAAAGATAATGAGGTAACGAGAGAGAGAGAGAGAGAGAGCGGGAGGCTGGCCCGGAGGCGAGGACAAGGAGGCGGAGCGCCAACGAACGAGGGGGATTAGGCGGTGAGCGGGGGCGGGGGCGGGCGAGTGCGGCGAGGAGGGGGCGCGGCCTGGCCTCGGCGGCGGCGGCGGGGGGGGGCTGCGAGGGTGGGGGCCTCGGCCAGGCGTCCGCAGCGGCATGGCCAAGGGCTTTCTGGAGGCCCACGGGTTTCAGGTCGAGAACTGCGTGAACGTTCAGGTCCCAGCACGGCTCCTCCTCCTCCACCACCTCCGCCACCTCCTCTTTCTCCACCTCCACCTCCTCCTACTCCTCACCCTTTTTCCTCCTCCTCCTCCTCCTCCTCCTTCTCCTCCTCCTTCTCCTCCTCCAAGACTCCGCATGCACTGGCGACGCGCGCCGGCTAGACGCCGCGGTGTGCGTTTTTGGGACTTGTCCCCCGTCCCCTCCCCATTTTTGCGCAGGTTTGCGCAAAAGGAGGGCATGCAAGGAGAAAAAGAGGAGGATGACAAGAGGGAGTAGGAGGAGGAGGAGGAGGAGGAGGAGGAGGAGGAAAAGGAGGGGGAGAGGGAGGAGGAAAAGGAGGGGGAGAGGGAGGATGGGACCTCGGAACTCGGAACTCGGCAGGCGAAGATCCGCACAAGAACTGAACATGGAGCTGCTGACGGGGGGTGCAAGAGCGCGAAGCCGCCTGCAGACCAACGGGGGACCACTCGAGGTGGGCATGGACCTGCTCCTTCTGACGGACGGGCGAATGAAACATGAAGCCACTTCGACACACGAAGTCAACGTGAATGAGAGCAATGGGTGCTCTAGCCCTGATGTGAGGGAGGAGGAGGAGGACGAGGAGGAGGAGGAGGAGGAGGAGGAGGAGGAGGAGGAGGAAGAGGGTCAGGTCACCGCTGTCGCTGCAACACCTTCCTATCCTGCTGCTGTCGCGAGGAGGGGCAGGAGGAGGAGGAGGAGGAGGAGGAGGACGAGGACGAGGACGGGGCGGAGGAGGATCAGGAGGAGGCGAGGACGAGGAGGAGGGGATGGTGAGGAGGAGGTGAGAGAGGGATGAGCAGGAGGTTCTCAGCAGTATTAGTATGTGAAGGAAAAGGTAGCATAAGGGGAAGGCCGATGCGGGTGAAGGAGTAGGAATGGGAGCCAAGGTAGCCAGGTCGAGCGATTCACAGGGCCGGCTTACACTCATCCTCCCTCCCACAACATATG